GTCGGAGGGTCAGTGCCGAGGGAGTGCCGCGCTGTCGGAGGGTCAGTACCGAGGGAGTGCCGCATGGTCAGGGCGGCAGTATCCTTAAAGTTATTCAGGGAGGGGTGTTGAAAACAAAATCAGTTAGTCATTGTTAACAGCGGTGATGGAACTTTCAGTTTCTGACAGTGGATATTGTATGGGGCTGATTTATTGTACAGTCCTTGTGATTACTTTCGTTATAATTTGTGGTGGGACTTGGTTTGTTTATACTTGCTGTGACTGAAAATTCTGAAGGAACAAATTAGACATGTTCCAGGCTTCCTGTATCCAATTATCTAATTAGAGGGCAGATTCTGGTTTGCGTGGGACACTAACAAGTTCAAAGAAACATGTTCGGCATAGATTGACGATGTCGAACTGATTAGCACATCAAGCAATAACCCACAGTCATAAAGTTGGAGTTTGGGATTTAAATGGTAATAGAGAAGAAATGAATCAACAATAATTAAACATATTGCAATGAATCGCAGATGAGTACTTATACCATACAGTAAAGGAAAGGTAGGATTTTAATCTGTTTTAATTGTGTTGATTGCAGATCTCTGGTGTGTATTTTGTACTTGAAGAAATTATGCTTGTGTGTTGAAAAGATGCAGACAGACAAATATTTTTCAATTTTAATGCACTTACAAGCCTTCCCAGTCCCACCAGTCATCCACAAGCTACTTCAGTGATATTGGTTAGTCTGGTCTTATAAAGCAAAGTAGGAGGCTATTTTAAAAGTAAAATAATTGAGTTAAAGACTGGAGTTGTGTTCAGAAGATGTTATGCAAATTGATTTCCTGTGGGGCAGTGTTGGATTCCTATTTAAGAACAATCTACACTGAAAGAATTAGTTTATTCACACCTTCAATACAGTGAAAGAATCAATGATCAGACAGAAGTGATGCTGGTCACAAGTAGGAGATAAGTAATAGCAGGAGTCAAACAAAAGTTTGTTCAGGGAACAAAACCCAAAACTAAAATTGCTGGATAAACTTAGCAGGTCTGGCAACATCTGTGGAGAAAAATCAGAGTTAACATTTTGGGTCCAGTGACTCTTCAGAACAGGTCTTGATGGTTAAGGAAATGAGGAAGTAGAGAGTTTAGTGAGGGGATTCCAGTGACGATTGAGTTCTGCCATGTGATTATCGTCTGTAATAATTGCCATGCTAACAATATGAGACTGACTTGCCTGTAGTTGCAAGGTTCATCTCTTTCCTCCCATTTTCTGAATATTGCTGAAAAAGAACACGTTTTGACAAAGATTTTCAATTTGCACTCAAGCAGAATTCCGGCGTTATGATGGAAGGACAAATTTGAAAGCAGAATACAGGGTTAACGGAAAGATTCTTGGCAGTGTGGAGGAGCAGAGGGATCACAGGGTTCATGTCCACAGTTCCCTAAAAGCTGCCACCCAGGTGGATAGAGTTGTTAAGAAGGCGTATGGTGTGTTAGCTTTCATTAATAGAAGGATTCAGTTCAAGAACCGTGAAGTTATGCTCCAGCTATACAAAAGCCTGGTTCGGCCACATCTGGAGTATTGTGTCCCGTCCTGGTCGCCTCATTACAAGAAAGATGTGAAAGCGTTGGAAAAGGTGCAGAGGAGATTTACCAGGATGTTGCCTGGAATGGAGGGAAGGTCTTACGAGGAAAGGTTGAGAGAGCTAGGGCTTTTCTCTTTAGAAGGACGAAGGATGAGAGGTGACTTGATAGAGGTGTACAATATGATCAGAGGTATAGATAGAGTGGACAGCCAGAGACTTTTTCCTAGGATGAAGGTCGCTATTATGAGGGGACATAGTTTTAAAGTGAGTGGAGGTAGATATAGGGGAGACGTCAGAGGTAGGTTCATTACTCAGAGAGTGGTAGGGGCATGGAATGCATTGCCGGAGAGGGTAGTGGATTCGGCCTCGTTAGGGGCATTTAAGCGGCTATGAGATGGGCATATGGATGATAGTATAAGGTAGGAGTGGAGGTTAGATAAACCTTAGGTTTAGGGTAAAAGTTTGGCACGACATTGTGGGCCGAAGGGCCTGTACTGTGCTGTAGTATTCTATGTTCAATGTTCTATGTTCTATGATTGGTTGTCAAGTGGACTCTCATTTGTAGAGGCATTGCCATGGGGACTGAAGCCAAAAAATACTGATTAACAGTTAGTGGTCAGGCTTTGTTAAATTTTAGACCAAACAGATTGAACCTGATTGGTCAGGGCATTGTCCTTTGACTAGGCGAGGTGATGGCCTAATGGTACTATCGCTGGACGGTTAATCCCAAGACCTGCATAACGTTCTGGGGACCTGGGTTCGAATCCCGCCACAGCAGATGGTGGAATTTGAATTCAATAAATTTAATTCCAGATATTTATGTCTAATGATGACCGAGAATCCATTGTCAATTGTTGGAAAAACCCATCTGGTTCACTAATGCCCTTTAAGGAAGGAAACTGCCATCCATACCTGGTCTGGCCTACCTGTGACTCCAGACCCACAGCAATGTAGTTGACTCTTAACTGCCCTCTGGGCAATTAGGGATGGGCAATAAATGCTGCCTGGCCAGCGATGCCGTCATCCTGTTAATAAATAAAGAAAAAAAAACCCTGAGAAATGAACCACCGATTGGTTGACACCTATGCTATTGAGTTGAAGCAGTTGAAGTCGGTGCACATATTCTTTCTGTCTGCAAAGAGCCGGGCCTCGTATATTAATACATGAGACATCTAGTACATGCAAATGTACTACACTGCGAACTCAATTAACAATCCTCAACTGGTTATCAGTGTAATTCCTCACTTATTCAGGATTATCCAGCAAATGCTGTCTAATGTTAGACACTGTTGTGAGTTTTGTGAGCATGGGTCATTTTGATATGATCATTACCTTGTTTGGTGCGAACTGCTGAAGGCACCTGCTGTTTGATGTGAGCTGCCAGGCTGAGATATGTGGATTTACATACCTGGCATCACACTGGCACTGAAATTCATACTCCATATGACTCACTTGTGTGACAGGCAGGACATTTTTTTTTTGGCTTGAACACCAGCATCCTGTTAGTGGCAAGCACCATTTGTGTTGCTATTCATAGTGACATCATGAAACAGCTAGCTTCACCTGTTGCTCAAATGTTTGAGATGCTTTGTCCTTTCAGCATAATCTGAGGTAAACTGGGCAGTCCCAGACCAAATAAGATTTCCTTTTTGCTCCCAAAGGCTGTTCTTGTCATTTTGTGTGTTTACTTTAATAGTGTAAGGCATTTGGCAGAAGAAACTGCAGCTGTTTAGAGAAGATCTACCAGAATTTGCATTATAAATGTGTGGAGTGTACTTCCTGCTGGACCCAACCACAATGTGGCCTAACAGTAACATATTATTTGCAATGCAATTAATAAACTGTACACACTGGTGCCAAAATTCATATTTCATGGGTTGCTCAGGACAGCTTTCTGGAAAGGACACTCCTATATTGTTAATTTACTGTGATGGCAGTCTTTGTGGGCAAAGACTAGTTGTAATGATTTAGTTCGAAGCTATTTTATTTGTCTTTGATTTTGTAATCGGTTAAAGTGTTGGGAATGAAGTATTTCAGTCACCTGGCATGAGTGTCAAAATACTTGGTCAGCAAAATGTCGTGGGCAGGGTTAAAAAATGTACCTTCACCCTTGAGGTAGAACAATGCCTATCCCTGCACCAGATTGTTTATTCCTGTTCTAAAGACCAGGCTGTACATGGCAATCCTTTCTAACCAGCATCTGGCTCATCTCCATTGTTTGAACATCTTGAAAATCCCAGCTGATTATAGATCCAGCCCGGTTTTATGAAGAGCAGGTGGATGAATAAATCTGATGAGTGTTATGGAGTAGTGATATTTGGGAGAATGTCTTTGGATGTTATTTATATGGACTTCTAGAAGGAATTTGATCAAGTTTCATCAAAGGCCTTGTCAGTTGAAGGTGAAGCTGATGGATTTGAAGGCAAGGTGTTGACTTGGTTGGAAAATTGACTTGAGTGTATGGACAAAAAGAGAGTTGGGATAATGCTCAGTCAATCCTGACTTAATGTTGTCTGTGAATTTCTGAACGCTGTGACTTTAGGTTCCCCCAGTAATCAATGTTAAAACAGGAATTGCATTCTGTAGGACCTACTTTATCAAATAAAGAACATTAAAACAATACATCCTATAAGCTTTACTTCAATAAATACCTATATTGGTAAATAAAACTACTTTTAAAATGAAATAATATGAAATTTAAAAGAACTTTTAGAAACCGAAGATACATCAGGCAAATGGGTGACCTCCAGGAAACGTAGGAGAGGGAGACAGGTTGTGCAGGAGTCTCCTGTGGCTATCCCATCTCAAACAAATTTTCTGATGAAGGGTCTAGGCCCGAAATGTCAGCCTTCCTGCTCCTATGATGCTGCTTGGCCTGCTGTGTTCATCCAGCTCTACACCTTGTTATCTCAGATTCTCCAGCATCTGCAGTTCCGACTATCTCTCCCGTCTCAAACAAGTATGCTGTTTTAGGAAAATGTAGGGGTTGATGGGCTCTTAGGAGAATGTAGCATTGACAGCCAGGTTTCTGTTAACAAGACAGGCTCTAATGTAACGAGGGGTCCGTCAGGTTCCAAGCAATCGACTGTGACAGGGGACTGTCTAGCC